AATCAGCCGAAATGCTGATGTCAATTGGCTGCCTCGCAGCTGCGATTTGACTCCGCTGGACTATCTTTTATGGAGAATCGTCAAGGATGAGTGTTACGCTAACCAGTCAGAAACGATTCAAGAATTAAAACATGAAATCAAAGTTGCCATCGATGAAATACGCGCCCATACAGTAGAAAATATACTGAAAAATTGGATTGATAGAATGGGATATTGTGCAGCCAGCCGTGGAAGTCATTTGAATGAATTATATTCCATGTTTAATGGCAATGTACTACCTTTCCAATAAAGCCATAAACTTTGAAAAATATTCATGCGTTTTTTTTTAGAGCCAAATTAAATTCCAAATTTTAAATGGCCCACCCTGTATAGTATACCTCTTCTTCATAAACTCGAGTAGCAAGAATAATTCAGTAGAAGTAGAATTTTACCAGAAAAAAAATTATAAACCAACATTTTCTTTCACGAAAATCTCAAAAAGTCAAAGAAAAGAAATGCGTATGTTTGAGACTCGAGATTTGTGAAAAAAATATGCGAAAAAAAAATCGAATAATTGCAAAAAATTTTTCGCTTATAAAACGATAGATACTGATTGTATGAAAAAAAAATTGTTATAAAAAATGTAGATATTCGAAATAACTATAAAATGAGACGTGGAACATTAAAAATCGATCTATTAGTAGAAAAAAAATTTTTTAAACCGAAAAAGACCTTTTTTTTTACTTGTTCTCTGTTGTTTTTTACTTGTTCTTTTTTACTTATTCATTGAGATTTAAACGCAAAGCTTTGAAATTCTCATAAAATGTAGCCCTAGTAATAACGAATAAAGCTAACTCTGAACAAGCCTGAAATGTACATTAGTTTTTGCAAAAAGTTATTTATTCACTAAAACTGTCTGTGGAAAACTTAATTTTTTCATCTTTGAGCAGCAATTTACAGGGGTGATTTTTCTTCTTCAAGAATTGCACTTTACGTACGCTAAATAAGAAAGCGATTTTTGCAGTTGAACTATTAATATAAAACGATTTTAAAAAGGGGTATCTTTTTCCGTATAAAAAAATGAAATAATTTCGTTAATATGCATCATATCAAATAGCCGTGTGAAGCATTCGAAATCTTTTCTACGAATTTAAGAAAAGAAGATAATTCTCTGATTATTAGAAGTCTGATTATTAGAAGAAGAGATAACAATTTTTTTTTTAAATCACTGTAGTTCTAATTTTTAAAAGTTCCGTCTGGCACCAATTTGTTAAGAAAGAATTGAATTTGCTGTTAAAAAATTCTGCAATTTTTTGCTACCGAAAAAGTTTGTTTAAAGCCATTGGAAAGTTGAAGAACGCGAGCGAAACAGTGCACCGGGTGGAGTGAGGGAAGCCGGCGCACAGTCGAGTGGGGAAAATCGGGCTGCTCGGCGATTCGCGCATATTTGACTTCGTGCGTTAAAATTTGCTAAATTTACATTTTCTCAGCAATGACATGGAAACATGATTTTTTTTTAATCTGGAGTAGCTC